CATGTATTTATAGTGCTCAAGACCTCTCTGGACGTCACTTAGGGTTTCTCCAAATGTGGGCTTCGGAAATGGGCTTTTTGGGCTCGGAGGTTGAAGGCCGCGGTCGGGAGTGCTCTGACCGCGGTGGATGAGTGGTTTGCCGCGGTCGGGATGCTCCTGACTGCGGGAAAATGCTTGTTGGCCGCGGGTGGAAGTGCTGGCCAGCTGGTTTACGGGACATCTTGCTCTTCGCGTATCTTTTGATTGAACCGTTGGATTGCCAAGCTGTAAAGTGCACTGGAAAGCTGATACTTCCATCTTTAAGGTCTCAAAATTTGAGCTGGATCAGACGGTGAGAAAGCCTTCAATCAGGGGTGAACTTCTGACGGTTTGACTCTGAGCTGAAATCTGGTTTTATATCCATTTTGTTAAGCTTTTCCCTAAGTTACCTGAAAAGAGTCTTGAAACTACAAATACTAGAAAAACGTGATAAAAGTACTTAAAAGCAATTTAAAACATAGAAAAAGTATTTCAAAACGATCCATAAAAGTGGTCGAAATACGGTGTTATCACTACTATGGCCATCTGAAGCTCTCCGGCAGAACTTTTTGTCTTTCTGCGTCCCTTAGGTCTTCGATCTCTTCAAAATCCGCCTCTTAACTCGCTTGGTCTTGCTTGTTGTGGTGGTGGAAATACCCACCGGCGGCAAAGGGAAAAAATACTTTTGAACCTAGTTCCAATTTGTTTATTGGACCATTAAATTAGCAGCAAATGAACGTGATCGGATGAAATTTTCAGGGCGCGGGAGCCGACCTGACAAAAGATCATCTAGAAGAACTTCATCATTGTTCTCAAACTCGGTTCTTATTTCTATCAGAAACTAACAATAATCGTTCTTTTCTGCAAGATATGCAAGTGTATTTTGGGTATGATTATGTTTGTACCATAGAACCGAGAGGACGAAGCGGTGGCCTAGCTCTTTTCTATATGGATGAACCTACGATTTTCTATTTTGTACTCGGATGAACATTTGATTGATATAGAAACTACTCTAGACGGACATAAAATCTTTATGACTTTTGTCTATGGAGATCCGGTGGTTAAAAACCGAGAAAATGTGTGGGACGACTTACTAGGATGAGCCTCTGCAGAAAAAAGACATGGTTTATGATAGGTGACTTTAATGAAATAACGGGGAACCATGAAAAACGGAAAGGCCGACGGAGACCGGAGTATTCATTTATCCCCTTTCGAACTATGCTAGATCATTGTGAAATGCTAGATTTCCCGTATAAAGGAAACTCATTCTCATGGGTCGGTAAGAGACGCTCGGGCAAAGTCAAGTGCCGCCTCGATAGAGCCGTGGGGAATGAATTTTGGTAATCAAAATTCTCCCACACTTCTGTGGAGTACCTTAAACTATGGGGATCAGATCACCACCCTGTTTTGGCTATGATAAAAGTGGACAATCGAAAGAGGAAAAAGTCATTTAGATTTGATAAAAGATGGTTAGGAAAACCGGGATTCAAAGATGCGGTAATCTCTGGATGGGGCTCTTTTGATGGAATCCCACGTCGGAATTTTTATCAAAAAGTAGCGAACTGTCGCAAGAGCATCTCCACATGGAAGAAGTCTCTACCAACAAATTCGGAAAAAATGATAGAGGATTTAAAGAATCAATTAGACGCAGCACAAGACGATGAAAACTCAACATTAGAAGAAATAGAGGATATCGGAAGGAAACTCTGTGCTGCTTTTCGCGAGGAAGAATCCTTCTGGAAACAAAAGAGTTGCGAACAATGGCACAAGTCGGGGGACAAAAACACAAAATTCTTCCATGCTCTCACTAAACAAAGGAAGAGTCGAAACCGTATAATTGCTCTGAGAGATGGTAATGGGAATCGGGTAGAGAATGCAAAAGGTAAAGAACGGGTGGCCTCCCAATATTTTCAAGACCTGTTCACCTCGTCACAACCCACAGATCCAGGAACTGCACTCCGGTATATTACCGAGAAAGTAACAGAGTCTTCTAATCAACTCCTGTTAAAGGATCCTTCGAAAGCAGAAATTAGAGCAACTCTCTTTGATATCAATCCGGATAAAGCCCCCAGACCAGATGGATTGATGAGCAAATTTTACCAAAAGTTCTGGCAGAAGTTTCGCCATGATATAGTGAAATTAGATAAATCAAGAGCGATGACGGAATTTCGACCAATTAGTCTTTGCAATGTGAGCTATAAGATTATATCGAAGCTGATGTGCAAACGACAAAAGAAGACACTACCTTACTTAATTTCGGAAACTCAATCGGCCTTCATGGCTAGACGTCTCATCACAGACAACCGATATGAGCAAAGCATATGACAGAGTATAATGAAGCTTCATCGAAGCTCTTATGATCAAGTTAGGATTTTCCGAGAGATGGGTCAAATTATTGATGTTTTGTATCTCTTCGGTTTCTTACCAAGTTCTTATAAATGGAGAACCGAGGGGAAATATTATCCCGACAAGAGGATTACGGCAGGGAGATCCTCTTTCTCCATTTCTTTTTATCCTGTGCATGGAGTCTCTTATCTCACTTTTCAAGGGAGCAGAGGAAGAAGAACATATTTCTGGGCTAAAAGTAGCTCAAGCAAGTCCACCAGTGTCTCATCTCCTTTTTGCCGATGACAGTCTATTCTTTTGTAGAGCTGATATCCATCAGGGAGCCGAGATTTTCAGGATCATTAATACATATGAATCAGCCTCGGGACAACAACTTAACCTGGGCAAATCATCCATTATGTTTGGGTATAGAGTGGAACCAAGTTTGAAGCATGGTATTAAGAATGCCATTGGAATAACCTCGGAGGGCGGCATGGGTATGTATCTGGGACTTCCAAGACAAATTTTTGGATCCAAAAAGAAAGTCTTCTCTTATGTCCATGATCGTTTAAGTAACCGAGTGAACAATTGGTCTGCAAGACTTCTTTCCAAAGGAGGAAAAGAAATTCAGATTAAGTCGGTGGCACAAGCCATGCCGACCTACGTAATGTCATGCTTTTTATTACCTCAAGGAGTGACTGACAAACTACGTAGTGCCATCACTAACTTTTGGTGGAGCTCAAAGCAAAATAGCGGCAGGATACACTGGATCGCATGGGACAAAATCTGTATTCCCAGGACTTGGGAGGTCTTGGATTTAGAGATTTACACAATTTTAATTTAGCCCTTCTAGCTAAACAGCTATGGCGACTCATTCAGTACCCCTCATCCCTCTTGGCTAGTGTTTTAAGAGGTAGGTACTATCGACAATCTGACCCTTTAGAGGACCGGAAAATCTATTCACCATCGTATGGGTGGCGAAGTATTATGGCCGCAAAACCATTTTTGAAGATGGGCCTGAGGAAGATGATTGGATCGGATCTAAACACGAGAGTGTGGTGTAAACCGTGGATTCCCGATATTAGAGCCCGTCCAGGAAGAGCCGCCCAACATATAGGATACCGAGACCCAGGATTATTGGTTTACTCCTTTATCCGTCAAGACACGAGACAATGGGATATTCCCCTTTTGAATCAATTTTTCCAACCTGAGGATGTTTCCCTCATCCTTGGGTTGAGATCTAGCCGTACCCGGATCTTGGATGGATATGCATGGCACCACTCAAAATCAGGACTTTACTCAGTTAAGTCAGGATATGACCTGTTCAGAAGGACAAAGCTAGACCGGGAAGCTAGAGCAGTGCTGGAACCAAGTATTACGGCTCTCCAAAGGCATGTATGGAGAGTCCGTACTCCTGGAAAGATGAAACACTTTATGTGGCAATCTTTGACATGGTGCGTTGCTACATGCCAGAATCTCACATATCGACATATGGGTTCTGACAAGCGGTGTCTCCGCTGTGGGGATCCTGAGGAGTCTATCAATCATCTGTTGTTTCTATGTCCCCCGGCCTTACAAGTCTGGACGCTATCAAACTTTCCGTCCCTTCCGGACTTCTTCCCGAGTACATCTATTTACCAAAATATGAGCTCTCTCTTTTGGAAAACAAAAAAGTTAGGAATGACAGATCCACAAAAGGATGTATATCCTTGGATCTTATGGTTCATTTGGAAAGTAAGGAACGACAAGATTTTCAACGGGAAAGAAATTTCCCCGGAAGATACCCTGCTCCACGCTAAGGTGGAAGCGGAGAGTTGGAGAATTGCAAACCAAGCCGAAGATGACGAAGACGGAATTGGTGGGACCTCGGCTTCCCCTCTGTCCAGACATCTTCACCTGAGGTTTTGCGGACTCTGATTTGCCGGATTGATGCCTCTTGGATTGACCACGGACCGGTTAGCGATCTCGGGTGGAGCATTATGGACGGCATGGGAAGAGAGATTTATGGACAACAAGGATGCTGTAGAAGCCTCTCCGCTCTTCACGCTGAGATGGATTGCCTCTTATGGGCTATGTCATGTTTGAGAAAAATGTAATTTTCCTCAGTTCTTTTTGAGACCGACTGTTCAGATCTTGTAAGCATGTTTGAAGCTCCTGCGGATTGGCCGTCCTTCATGTCAGAGCTAGAAACCTTCTGTATCCTTCGAGAAAGCTTCTCGGAATTTGCTTTATCTCATATTCCCAGGAGTCAAAATATCCGGATGGAAAGTCTTGCAAAGGGAGCCCGAGCTAGAGGTTTTACCTTTTCCCACATCCGTCATACCGAGCTAGTCGAGGATGAGGCTCAGACCATACCTCCGACTGGCCACACGTGATGTATTAGTTGGGTAAATGACAAAAAAAAATCAAAGATTCAATTTCTTTTCTTTATCTAGATATTTCTATATTTGAATTTTTTTTTTTAGTTAAATTTGAGAGGACTCTGAATGTAACTTAAATTTTAGATTTTTTTTTTTTTTGTCAATCGAAAGTGTAGTTTTAGAGGGGTATCTCTCCTAACGATTAAGATCTTTAGTGGAAAAAATCGAAACAAGGAAATGGATATAGTTCTAAAAGAAAATTTTAAAAACTACGTACGTCTACCGGGTATAGTTCTATCCTAGTTTCCAAACAAGCCCAACTCTGAAACTCTTCCTCGTTCAGTTTCAAATTACAGTGACCGGGATAGAGAGATCCAAGAGCCAAATTCGAAGGATCCGACAAAAATGGCTCCGAGATCCGATTCACAAACCCTATCAACCGTCTCCGGCGTATCGGACGGTTCAGATCAGTCCTCGATCGATCCGATGTTCCACCTTCTCCGAATCCTCCCGTTCTCCTTTCTCCGACCACCGCGTCTCCGTCTCAAGATCCCATCGTTCACGCTTCCGTCTCCGATGACCGTATACGCTTTGATTCTCCTCACCTACTTTCTGGTAGTATCCGGTTTCGTCTACGACGTGATAGTCGAGCCTCCGGGTATCGGATCGACCCATGACCCAATCACCGGAGCCATACGACCCGTGGTGTTTATGTCGGGTCGGGTTAACGGGCAATACATCATTGAAGGTCTCTCATCCGGATTCATGTTCGTTCTTGGTGGGATTGGGATCGTTATGCTTGATTTGGCGCTTGATAAGAACAGAGCCAAGAGCGTTAAAGCTTCATATGCTAGTGCTGGTATCTCCTCCATTGTGATCGCTTATGTCATGAGTATGCTCTTCATCCGGATTAAGATCCCTGGTTATCTCCATTAGGTTTTGAGATCGATCAGTCGAAAAAAAGTTGTCTTTTTTAGTGTTTTCGAGTAGCTCGGTTTTGGAACTGTAGATTGCGTTTATAATTTGAGTAAAAAGTTCAAGCATTTCTCTTTTTGGATTTGAATTAAATTCTTAGTAAATGTTCAATCGATTTTCATGTTGCCTCATTGTGCATATTTCTGTGGGAATAATATAATTACGGATAAAAAAGTAGAGACCTTTTTTAGGTGGCTTCGTGTGTCTTATTTCAACGAAACACTTAAGCTGTGTAGTGTAACAGAGGAAGTAGGAGTTGGGAAGTGAAATCATCTTCCTTTGACTATGATCTGAGTGTTGATACTTTTGTCTGCTAAGTACATCGTTTTGATAACCAAAGTAAATGTGATATTGAAGAGAGAAAAAACGATTAACAAGGAGCCTGGAAAGACACCACGAGAGTGTTAGGCCTTGTTTGTTAGCCTTATATATTTGTCAGAAACTTCATAAATAAATCTTCCTGATTCGAACTGTGTTTGTCAATAGAAATCTTGAGTCTTTTGCTAATGTCTACAGAAACAGGAAGAGAAGGGGATGATGTTCATAAAAGGAAGACTTTATTCATTAGCAAAATTTGGCATGCATAGAAACAGGGACCTGGTTCAAGCATATATGATGAAAAAAAACAAGAATTCTAGAATCTGATGAACATATTAGATACTCTTTATACATTTGATTATAGACAAAATTGGATTGTTTTGGCCTCGGTGCTACGGATGTGTGCATAGGTGTTAGGAATGTGGAACCTCTTTGTTGTTGTCTGTTTTATCGGCTGAAATAGGTTCTTGGAGAAAAGAGACGACGTGGGGAGAACATTCCAGAATACCTAGGCGAGGCAAGACTGTCGATGGAACGGTATTCAGGCATGATGAACCCTTCCCTCTCCTCCCTATTCCAGCTTCTTGATGCGCCATTGAATGTCCCATATTTCACCAATTTACCGAATCCCCATGACTTCTTCTTGCTGGGACTCTTTGGTGAGACACCATTCATCTTCTGTGTCAGATACTCTCTCACCACCTGCAAACTCTGCTCCATCACCTCAATGGGCGGGGACACGAGTGGGTTTCCTTCGACACTCAGCTTCCTCAACCGTCTCATGCAGCCAATGGACTCAGGCAAGGCGGTGATCTTGTTGTAGCTAACATCGAGCTCGATGAGGTTCATTAGGAGGCCAATAGAAGCCGGGAGGGTGGAGAGATACTGGAAGTTCTGGCTGACGTTTAGGATCTCGAGGTTGATGAGGTTCTCGAGATCTTCCGGTAGAATCATGAGGCAGTTAAGACGGGCGTCGAGGACACGGAGAGAGGTTAGGTGAGTAATGGAAACTGGGAGGCTAATGAGCTTGTTGGAGTTGATGGAGAGCTTCCTTAGATTGGTGAGTTCAAATCCAATTGAGTCTGGTAATCTGATGAGTTTGTTGAAGTTTGCGTTAAGCTCTTCCAGAGACCTGAGAAAAACCACAAAAAGGGAATCATGTATTTGTTGGTTTGGTTGGTTTTGTGAAAGTTATGGGGTTGAACCTGCAATGTTGGATAGATTTGGGGAGGGAAACAAGAAAATTGCCGGAGACGTTGAGGCACTTGAGCTTGGAGAGACAACCAATGGAGTTTGGAAGAGCTTTGATCTGATTCGAGTGGACATCTAATGCTATCAAGTTGAGTAGTCTCGCTGTTAGTGATTCTGGTATGGTCTGTGTCACAATTACATATTATCCAAATAGACAAATTAGCATTGTACGTGCTAATGATATGTATCGAATTATGCAATAGAAATGTCTCAGAATGTGTATAAACATATGTATGTGTGTAGATATGAACCTGGAGATGATTGTTGGAGAGATCAAGCTTGCATATTTGAGCTAAATTGAGTGAGGGATTAGGGAGAGACTCTAATGCCATGCCACTCAAATTCACAACCTCTAGCCTCTCTTCCTCGTTATTACTAATGATGTTATTGAATGATGGTGATTTAGGTGATGATGATGGTGATTTAGGAGACGATAATGGTGATTTCTTCCGTTGATGATTGTTATGTTGATCCATCATCATCATCGTCATCATTTGTTCCTTGATCTGTCCTTGTGGTTGCTGATGATATGCCTCCTCGCATATCATCTTTATATGTGTGTGTGTATGTATACGTTTGAAGAAGAAGAAGAAGAGGAAGAAGAAGAAGGGAATGATCAGATGTTAGAAGGAGGAGAGTTTAATGCATATATGGTAACAAAATGTGTGTACGGAGAATCTTTAGGGAATGTACGGACGAGAAGTTTTGGTGGAAATAAAAAAGGAAGTAGATCAATGTAAATGAAACAAATATTAAAGCTATAAATAAATTAGATTATTTAGGTAATTAATTAAATAATTATATGGCTTTTTTGAGTGGTCAAGGTTTCCTCACCACTTGATTAACAAACAAAAAGTCAAATATTCCGCTAATCACTCCTATCTTTCTATCATTAAATTTCTTTTTTACAGTACTCCTTTGTTGGCATCTTTTGACTAAATCAAAAGGAATGTTCTCGTTTTGAGGGAAATCACATTGGAATTGTGTAAATATTTGTTTGTTCCCATTAAAATGTACGTAACACTTGACACATCAATCTCTGTTTATAACTTTATATACACATAGGGCAAGAAATTGAGTTTTAAGTTAACAAACTGTGTAACTTATCGAGGAGTATTATGTAAAAATCTTTCATATGTTATAATTCGTATTCTCTTGGGATATCATATCTTGTATGTCAAGTCTAGAATATTTTTTTAGGACTTACAAGCTGTTGCATTGCATATATATAGTCTTAAGATTAATGAGAAGAATCAACGCCATCAACATTGTTATAGTTAGAACCAAAACATAATGTTGTAATTAAAGCGGAACATCCCAACTTAACCAAGTTGCTGCTAATTGGTTGAAAAATAGAAATTTGGTGAGCTATCTATTCCTATTCATCGCCCTATTAAATGATCATTTTAGCGATATGATTTTGCCATAGATTTTATGTTACATTTTGTTTCGCCATAGGCAATTTGTAATTCATATGACAATACAATATCTACTAGAACCTCATCAAACTTTCTACAGTTGTAAGCTCATTTACAAAATATACATTTGGCAAAAATGATAGAATTTTTTTTAGAGTTTATTCATTGTCTTAAGACAACTTTCTTATGTCTTCCTATACTCACAGATTATAAAACTTCATATAGAGTATATATTTTGGGATAATGCAAAATAAGATACTGCACAAACTAGTGTTACATCAGTCAACTTTCATAACTCTTGAAGCAAACGATTTCAACGAACGACCAATGGTATTTTCGAAGTACATGAATTGTTTGAGGGGTTTTCTAGTAACACAACCTCTTCATTTGACTCATCCTCCACGAATCCGTCGAAACAAACACCTTCGCACCAAACATCGCCACGTAATTATCTTTAACGTGCCACGTAATCAAGAAGTGTTAGCAGAAAACTAAGAGAATCGAGAGCGACCGTGAGTGAGAGAGAGCCAAAGATGGAGGCAACGAAAGAGAGAATGGAGAAGGAACAGAACAAGAAGAGAGAAGAATCTTCCGTCGTCACCAATGAAGCGGGAAAGGCCGAAGACGTGGTGAGAGCGATCATTCGCGATTCTATAGTGGAAGGCGGAGGTGACGGCGAGGGAGACGGCGGCGATAGCGCTCGCAAGCCGGAGGACATTCTTGCTTTCTCAAGAACCGTACGGAAGATCGATTCCTCGCTTGAGTAGTTTTAATATGTATTCTGTTTTTAACTTTGTTTTCTTCAAAACTCAAAATGTTATATCTTTTTTTTTTTAATATGTCAATCGACTTGCGGAACAAATAAACCGTAAATATCTTTCAATCTACTACATTTGATTTTACCACAAACATAAACATTGTCAGAAAACCCCGGGAAGAAGAAGAGCAAGCAAAAAGGCTTTTTTTGTGGCAAGCCCATTGGGCTTTATTTAAGCCCATTTAATCTGCTCATCTCTTCTTCAAGAAAACTCTAGAACAACTTTCTCCTGATAAGTATAGCTTAGCTTCTCTGTTACTTTACTCAAGTAGAAAAAGATGTCGATAATTCCAATCAACGATCGCCGGCGATTTTCTTCCGGCGATAGAATCTGGGAGCCACTCGAACTCATGAGCTCCTTCTTCGACTTTCCATCACCATCCCTCCTGCTTTCTCGCCATTTTCCTTCACTTTCCCGAGAAATTTTCCCATCCTCTGCTTCATCCACCGTCGAGACGCAGCTCAATTGGACGGAGACACCTACGGCTCACGTTTTCAAGGCTTATCTTCCGGGAACGACTCAGGACGAAGCGATCGTGTTCGTGGACGACGAAGGATTTCTCCAGATCTGCACCGGAGATAACAAATTCATGAGCAGATTCAAGCTTCCCGAAAACGCCATGACGGATCAGGTCACGGCTTGGATGGAGGATGGGTTCCTCGTTGTGTTCGTCGCGAAAGATGGTACTTCTTCGCCGTCACGGCCACCGGAGATCGAGGAGAATCGCAACGTTAGGGTCGTGGAAATCACCGGGGAAGATGATTGATTAAGTCTTAAACACTGGCCGAGATCGAAGAGATGTGTGATAAATAACCTGAGTAATCACGTAATTACTTTGTGATCTTGTATAAAGTCTCGTATGTTTGAAAAAAAAAACACTGTGTGTTCATATTCGTCTGTAAAAAACTTTGATTTGAATGAAATAGAAAAATTTGCAAAAAAGGACCTTCAACTAACCAAAGTTTGTAAAATAACTCATCATCTAAGAGGACTGAAAAAACGGATCAAGTTTTTTTTTTTTTTTTCGACAACGGATCAAGTTAAGTAATAGGACACTAGGATCAACTTACCACACATGACACACCAGTACACCACACATGACACACCAGTACACCACACATGCATGACTCGAGTTTTGCTAAAATTTATAATTTCTTTTTAAATTGTTTCTTCTTTCTTTTTATTTTTTCCAAATATCTTGTACGTTTTCTCGAATCTTATATTATTTTCTGATTGTATGACAAACTCAAACTAGATTCTATGCATCCGCACGAGAATATTTTTTATTGTTTAACGAATTTTGTAATATAATTTGTGTTTTTGAGTTTAGATATAATTATTTTTATAAATATATTTTTTAATAAGTGAAAATATTGATTTTTTGTGTTTAGATATATTTTATAGTATTAAAATTAATTATGATTATAAAAATATAATTTTAACCCGTCCGCTAATATTAATTCAAAATGAACTATTATAAAAACATAATTTTACCTTTTCCGTTCATATTACCGTATAATATAAATATTTGTTAAAAGTTTGAGATGTATTAACAGTATTATTTAGCATTATAGTTTTCTAAAATTTAATCAACGAAGGGAGTGTACAACTGGTTTTTCAAACCACATTTTAGTGTATGCAATAATTTTTATTTTTTTTTGTTTTTATTTTGTATGAAAAATATATTTTTGATATACATGTATAATTCAAAATTAGTGATTTTAGTTACCAAAATATTTTTAACCCGATTTTTATAAATATTTTTAATTCCATGAATTTTAAAAAATATATTTTTAATATTTAAATTATACATTTAAATTTTACCTATTATTTTATTATTAATTTGTAAATAAATCATAATCGTAAATATATTATATAAGCAACATAAATATCATATCATTTACATCATTATAAATATTTTATATTTCAAATATGACCATTATTTTTCATATGTGAATTATTTTTTTTTTCAAAAATTCTACACATTTTTGATAAAAATGTTTAATAGTATAGAAACTATTTAAATTAGAATCTTTAAATCAAATCTAAATTAATATCTGATTTATTATTTTTAATCAAATCAAATCAAATTTAAATTAGCTATATTTAAGGAACTCTAAAAATATTTAAATTAATAACTAATTTTCGAAATTAAATATAAATAATTATTAAAATTATTTTTAAACACTTAAAAAAAATTTGGAGTGTTTGGAAGCAAGTACTAAATGTGCTTCTATTTTAGTAGAATAGATTAAAATTTTCATTTTTTGTCATACTTGTTAAAATTTTATTATACTTGTTAAAACCAAAACGATGAACTTCTAAGTTCTTATTACATAGTATATGTTAAAACCAAAACGATGAACTTCTAAGTTCTTATTACATAGTATACAGTTAAAATTTTATAATGTAATGCGAACAAATTTCTAACATGATCTTATTGGTGAAGAAATATCCTCCTATATAACCTGGTAAAACTTGAATATTATTATTATTATTATTATTATTTATAGGTAAATGTGTAGGAACTACCAAGTTGTCCATCAAGGTTGGAGAATTTTAGTGACCCAATTTAACTATTTCGGATTTAACCCAGTGAAAACCATAAGATTCGATTCAATTCCATTCAAATCAATACCCAAAAATTAATTCTAAAAAAATTTCCAAAACTGCGTTTATCGAGAAAGAAAAAAAAAGAGGGACAACAAAGTAAAACTGTGTCTAATGGGATTGTAAATAACTCGTACAAGGAACCTCCGTCGTCGTCGTCGATGGGAAGAAAAGTTTGAAGCAAACAATTCATTACAAGAGTCATCTTGGAATGAGTAAGACCATAAGGCTTCAGAAGAGAATAAAGAAACAAATTTCAGTGAAAACTCAAAAGCAACGGGTTCTGAAGCAACGGGTTTTGAAGCAACAGTATGTATATCAGGAAATATTTTTGCTTATTGTGTTGTTGATTTTGGGATTGTTTAGGGTTTATAATTTTTTAGAATTTTGGGTTCCGGGATTTCTTATTGAATGGATTTGCGGGATTGTTCCTGTGGCTAAACATATTGTGAACGAATATAACATGTTTTAGCAACAATAATGAATTTCAAGGGGTTTGATTGTTTTTCCTGCTATTTTTTTTTATTAAGAAAACCCATGTTTTTAATAATTCAAATGTCTTATCGTTATTAATAATTATGAGTATGGCTTGTAAATAAACAACGTATCAAACCGGTTTTAAAATCAGTATAAAGTTATCAAAAGTTGTGTTTTAATGAGATTACATAACTTTTTTGGTTTCTTTGCCCAAAAGGGGCACAAAGATGACAAAAAAACAAAATTCTAGTTGAAGTCTTATTTCCAGAAGAAGCAAAATATTTATTTTCAAATTTGTAATAGTAAGAAATAATATTAATTGAATTTCCAACCAAATAATCTTTTATGTTATATTTTATGTCATTTATTTAAAAATATGAAGAGAAAACTAGAAACAACTAGTATAGAACAATTATCATTTGGTTCTTTAAACGGTGCCAAAACCAACTTGATTTGGAGCCTTTCTTTATTTTCTCTTCAAGATTATTGAGCTCGTTCTACGCATGCTGAAATTTTCAGTATTTTTTTTATCTTATTTTGCATTTTATTCTACAACTTAAACATTAACAACGCCAAAACTAACTTGATTAGAAGCATTTTGCTATTTTTTCTTCAAGCTTCTTAAACTCGTTTTGGCAATGCTAAAATTTTTAGTATTTTTATCTTATCTTGCATTTTATTTTACAGCTCAACATTAAGTCAGCTGTAGTGATGTGAAAGGATTAACACTGACAAACCAAATTGAAGCAGCATAGTGGTCACATGAGAGAAGTATAAATGCTTTTGTGTGTGTTCCTTTTGCAAGATTATTTACAGCTTCTGTTCAAAGAGTTTGAGAAGTATTTTTGTGCATGCTACTCCTTAAGTCCAAAGAGGAACATGAGAGAAGTTTTAGAGAAGCTTCAGATGAGATCACCACCAAATGCTTCTTCAGAGACTCACGGATGATCAGACACACTCATTTTATGAAGTTTGATAAATTTAGCAAATTCCTCTTGAATTTGATAGCGTGTAAATCCAAATCCGTTTATTAAAGAAGAATTAACACATTAGTTATTAATTTAATGATAAAAAATTATAGAAAGAAAACTTACAAGGATTGAAGTCTACATGAACACAATAATTGAGCTATTAGCACTTTTGTTATATATTAAATGGCTCCTAAACATGATAAACCAATTGGCGCCCCCAAAGCACATAAACCAGAAGAAAACACCAAAAACCATTGTTTTTAATTGAAGTTTCCAATTTAGTCGTGTGATACAATTTGGAACTAACACAATTTATTTCGTCATTGAGAGAAAGACCCCTCATTAATTTGTTTGTTAATGTTTTTCAATATCCAAAATTACCCATTTCCATCATTTTGCTATTCGATTCCCGAAATGAAATATAACCACCATTGATAATGGAGAAGCCTCTTCTTCAATCGGAGGTGTCAGTGTCTTGATAAATGACCAAAACCGGAGGATCTTAACCCGAGACGGATATTCGAGATTGAACCCGACCCGTATCCGAATCTATTTGACCCAACAACGCCAGCTCAACGCCCACTTCGGTGCTTCTATTCGCATTTCCGTCAACAATTCTGTTGTTTACCGGAACATCAAAAAGCGTTCGAGAAATTCGAACACGACATACATATAATCCTTGCTCGATAGACGATTCTTTTTTTTTTATTATTATTTGTATGATTTTGTCCTCGGTGAAGCAATCCGAACCGGAACTGGAATCGGATTTCATCAGAACTTGTGGAGTTTCCTTTAATCAAGGACGAATGATGGAATTGGGGTTTTCTCGGGAGTGAAGGATGATGATCCAGAGAAGACTAGATTCAAAGGATTGATCCGACAATCATGTGGTTTTCCTTCTTAAGACCCAGAGATCGATTCTCCTTGGGCGAACTCAGGTTTCATTTTCGTCTGATCGGCTTGTTTTTATGCTTGATTTTTTTCCTGGGTTTCTGTTTCTACTGGTTTTTCTCGTTTATGTACTTGCTCCATTTTCGATTTAACTTTGTTTCATGTAATTTCAATTGTGACTAAAATTACCCTTGGTGTTCGAGTCTTTTAGCGATTTTGTGAATCCTGGCCTAAAAATGTGTCTTTTAAGGGTGGTTGAGAATTTTATTTTCGTTGTCTCTTTGGAATTAGTAGAATTGGCAGTTTGCAGTTATTTGTTAGAGTTCCCGGGAAGTTGAATCTTTGATAGGCTTGAATGGTGCCATCGACTATTTAAGTCCCTCTTCCCCATTTTCAGTGAGGGGTCGACTTTTTAGAGATTGTGCAGATCAAAGGGCCTATCTTGACCATAGGAGAATGACTTGTTCTCGAAAGTTCATTGAGATCTTTGTGTACTATATTATTCTGTTCTGTGATTCTACCAGATGATGAAGCATAAGTGTTTGATGAAACTTTGGTTTTTTTAGGCATCTGACTGACCAGCTGAGAAAAACTCAGATAGTGAACGAGGCCAATAAGGTCAGTGGCATAAGTCCTTTCGTTTTAGCAACTTTGTCTTGGCAGTGTTGTTTTGTTTTTGTTAAGGAGAATTTGATCTTTGTTTACCGGTTTTCATTTTCAAGGATATTGTTGTCGAGGCACTGAGATCAATCGCGGAGATATTAACTTATGGCGATCAGCATGACCCCTCATTCTTTGAGTGAGTCTTTCTGCCAACTATCAGTTGACTCCCTTAATTTCTTATCGGCATGTGTTAATATTTTGCGATTGTTGCAGATTTTTTATGGAGAAGCAAGTAATGGGAGAGTTTGTACGTATTTTGAGGGTTAGCAAGACGGTAACAGTTTCTGTCCAGTTGTTGCAGACCATGAGTATTATGATCCAAAACCTAAAAAGTGATCAATCTATCTGTGAGTTCATCAGATGGAATATATTTGTCTTTGAGAATTCCTCATGATTATTGTCTATTCATGATCTTCTTTTGAAACTCCTTGCAGACTACTTGTTCAGTAACGAATATGTAAATTATTTGATAACATATACATTTGACTTCCAACATGAAGAGCTTTTATCTTACTACATATCCTTCTTAAGGTACGTTTTTCTGCTGGTATCTCGGCTTTAGGAAGTACTTATTGACTTTAGCTGATAACTGTTTTGTTTTCTTTATATAGAGCTGTTAGTGGGAAACTAAACAAGCATACAATATCGTTGCTTTTGAAGACCGAGAACGTGAGTATTTTTTTAGCGGCATGCCTGCATGTTCCTTTTACTCTGATAAGTCTTGTATGGATTTTTCTGCCATATTTTAATTCTGCTGTTCTGCGTCTAGGATGTAGTAGTTTCTTTTCCCCTTTATGTCGAGGGCATACAATTTGCATTTCATGAAGAGAACATGATACGGACTGCAGTTCGTGCCCTGACTCTTAATGTCTATCATGGTAAGTTATTCACTTCTTTCGATTTGTCACTTGCATTATTAAAAAAAATCAGAGCTTTTAGCAACGCTCTGATGCCTTTGGTTTTTTTTCTTTCTGCAGTTGGCGATGAATCTGTGAATGATTATGTAGTTAGTCCACCGCACACCGAGTACTTTTCAAAATTAGTTACTTTTTTCCAAAAGCAATGCATGGATCTAAGTGCAATGGTGTTGAACACTCTAAAGTAAGATACAGTGCATTTTCATTTCTCAGGGGAATAGCTTGTAAAATCGGTCATCACTTGTCATAACCCCTTTTCATCTATTTATTTGTTTGTGTGTGATCTGGGTAAATTACATTCTTCTGAAATATTGTCATTTATATTTGCTAAAGGAGCCCATCGCCAGACTCCGGTGGAAAATTGTTTGCTGCCGTTGACGGGATCGAGGACACCTTGTACTACTTTAGTGATGTTATCTCTGCTGGCATACCTGATATCGGGAGGCTGATAACAGATCACATTCTGCAGCATCTAACTCTCCCTCTTCTTCTCCCGTCTTTATGCTCTGAGACTGTAAACGTACAAAATCTCTCCTTTTCCTCATTGATGTTCTCTTCGGGTTGATTTATATTGTTCTTTTGTTAGACTTGTTAGTTTTTTTACTATATGCAAGAGTACAATTTCTAAGTATATACCATATTTTGTGGTTATTTCAGGATAAATCAGTTGATCCTGTGACTTCTCTCTATCTGCTTTGTTGCATCCTGCGGATAGTTAAAATCAAAGATCTGGCTAATATGACTGCTGCTACCCTTTTCTGCCCTGTAAAAGCGTTCATTTCAAGTTCCTTAGTGAAACCTAATAGCAACTTGGCTCCTGAACGTCTTACTTATGGAAATGGGCATCCAGACAGTAGTGTTTCTGAGGAAGCAGATCAACAGTGTCCAAGCACAAGCACTTCAGTCTCGAGTGAGGGTGGAAATTCCCACGTCTGCAGTGAAAATACTACAAAAAGTATTTTCGACAATTCACATATTACGTTTAGGTAACATCTTAGCTAATATAAACCGTGTATGATTCAGTCTTAGTATTTTTCCTTTATCAAATAAGCTGATGTAGTCTTTGTATATAGGGAGACTTTACTTCAGTATATTTCCGAGGGAGATGATGTGCAAGCTCAGGGTTCCTTGTTTGTGCTAGCCACTTTGTTGCAGACAAAAGGTATTGGCAGTGGCGTTGTGCAGATTCTTCTCGCCTTTTCTGGTTTTGATGTCTTACATTCTCTTTTGATAGAACTTGAAGAGTCAATGCTAGATGCTTTCGGCATTCTTCCTCAGCGCAAGCAGCACAAAAAACTTTTGCTGGTGAGTTCTCTCATTTCCTCTATTTTGTGCTTTTCAGTAGATTGTCAAGGCAAATCGCGTCTGTATGGATGCTGTTACGTATACTTTTAACTGGACGATCTACTCTAGCATGGACCAAAAGATATGCTTTACTTCTTGGAAAGCCTTTTTTCTTATTCAAAACTTAATTGGTAGTTATCTTTGACAGCAATCTTTGGTTGGGGAGGACTCTGGTGAAGAACAACTGTTTTCACCGCAAAATGGTTTTATGAGAGATGGCTTAAGTAGCGAACTTGATTGGTATCTGCGGAGGTTGGAGGTACTTGACGACATCTCTTAAAGTTTCCTTAACACCTTCTTCCTTTCCATCTCTTTGGTGTTGTAGTATATTATGATTGACTTATTCATTCAAGTAACTTCAACAGGAGCAGTTTGGAGTTTGCTGTTCATTGCCTGGGGCTGCAATGTGCCCCCGTGTACATAGACATCAGGTAAATTATGAACGTTTGTAAACCCTAGTTATTATTATTCTGAAATTCTTTCTGCCAAAGCTAGGTTCTTTTTCATCACAGTGGAAAATTTCTTGTCTTGATTTAGTAACAAATGTGGTTTAGGTGGTGGATGCATTGGTCAGTCTTCTCTGCCGAGAAAACATGTCTGCGGAAACATTATGGGATGGCGGCTGGCTCTTACGCCAATTGCTTCCTTATAGTGAGGCAGAATTTAATCGCAAGCATCTCGAGATGATGAATGTAGGTTGCTTTCATGATGTTTTTTTTTTTGTTTCTCTCCCCTACCCCTCTCTTTATATATTTACTAGTTTGCTACTGATGGCAGGTTTCGTATGAGAAATGTACAAGAGAACTTATCCGGGAAATTAAAGGTACCTGGCCTGATCTACTCATCACGGTACTGCTTAATGAGTGGAAAAAGTGCAAAAGAGGCAAGTAAAGAAGCAAAATGCTGAATATGTTGGATTTTGATTGTAAGAATATATTCTGTGAATCTGATACCAAATCTCTTCTGGCAGTGATCGAAGCTCCATCCCCTCAAAAAGAGCCTAAATCCGTTCTTCTCCAGCTGGAGAGATCATCTTCTAATGGTAGAATTTTTGTTTTTACATTTTGCGTGGCTAGCTGATAATAAATGTGAATGATAAGGACATTCACTTGTTAAAATCCTGTTTATGCAAACCTCTAACAACTGAATTTCTTACAGATAATGCTGTTAGTGAATCATCACTCACAGCAGGTGAAAGATTGTGTGTGGTGGTAAAGGTTCGTCCATTTCGTCCCTTTATATTTTTATGGAAAACTCTAATCAGCGCTTGTTGTTAATGTATATGCTACACATATCTGATAATCGAGCCTTTACTCCTTAGGTTTTTGTGCTACTTCATCAACTCCAGATCTTCTCGCTAGGTAGGCCCTTACCTGAGCAGCCTCCTATTCATCCTCCTCTCGACATATCTGAAACGTCTCGCGCAACAATTTCTGGTTTGGATGTTTCAGTCCCCAAACCTGGCACCGAAGTGAAGCTAGGTTAGCACATGATGCTCTTATGCTTGCCTTAGTACCACATCTATCAAACCCACTCCATGTCCATGTTCCACTCTCATGTCTCAGTTTGATTGATTGGTATATTCTGTAGTTAATCTAATCTTTGAAACTTTCCGATGCAGTTGATGCTGTACCCTGTAGGATTGCCTTTGAAAGAGGCAAGGAGCGCAATTTCTCGTTTCTAGCATTATCATCTGGTGTGTCTGGGTGGATTGTCCTTGCTGAAGAATCACTTTCGAAGCCTGATCAAGGAATCGTCCGTGTTACCGCACCTTTAGCCGGCTGCAAAGTACGTGCTCACCTTCATTGTCTTCTTCTTTATTGAAAATGCTTGTAAAGATCACACACAAGGACAGAGATGATCATGATATTGGCATAGATAAATGATCTATCTTTGGTTTTGTTTTCAGCCCCGAATAGATGAAAAGCACCCAAAATGGCTACACCTGAGAATCCGACCATCTACTTTACCGTTCTTGGATCCGACAAAGCGAGGAGTCTATGAGAAGCTAAAGTCAAAAGGTCTAGTAGACGGGAGATGGACATTAGCATTCAGGGACGACGAATCTTGTTACTCTGCTTACTCAATGGTTGCACATGAGATCGACCTACAATGCAGCGAGGTAGAAAGAAGGTTAAAGCCATTGTTTGACCTTGAAAGAAACCATCAAGATCAGTCAAACATCACTTCTGAAGCCTTCCCTTCACCATCTTCATCTTCGTCCGGCTGATTTCATTTTGCATTGCATTAAAAAAAAAATTTGGTATTGATCTCTGCTTGGTCTTGGCCTTATAAAATGAACATATGAATCGCCAGGCATTTTTGATGCACTCTTAAAGCAGCTTCCATGATTCTTTCAAGTGCCTTGTTTCTTGTCCATTCATTACGCAGCTCTATAGCTCCTCCCTTCCAGGGTTCTTTTCTTCTTTACTCTGCGTTTTTTTTTTTTTGTTTGTTTGTGTTGTTTATTATTTTTTTGTAATGTCTTAATATCAATGTATATTTGGATGAGACGATCCATTAGTGAGTTTCAATTGTTATCACAAAAAGTTTATACAGATACATAATTACGATGTTAAATGAAGTAGATACAATATATGACTTTTAAAAGTCTCATCCTCACTCATGTTAAACAAAATCAAAAGTTTTGAAACTTTTGCCATGAGACAAAGGCAGCCAATAATCACCAAAAACATAAAGTTACTTAGCAGTATTTGCCAAAAGAATTTCTCCAAGTAACATGGATGCATGCTTTTCTGAGTTGACAAACCTTTTTTCCTCAAGCCCCACGACAAGTGCTTGATAAGTACTATTATTCGGAAGCATTCCCTTTTGAACCATCGAACCAATCAACTCGCATGCTTTCTCAATATCCCCTACACTGCAATATCCATGGATGAGAGTATTATACAAAACCACATCTGGCTTTAGCCCGACATCAAGCAACTTAGTAAACAAGACAATAGCTTCCCCCATTCTCTGCGCTCTACAATAGCCATGTAATAACGCACTGCATGTTACAACATCAGGTTTCACTCTAAGATCAGCCATGTAGAACCACAAAAGAAATGCTTCCTGAAAATCTCCCTTCTTCGAGAACCCACCAATCACATCAGTGAAAGCAAATGCATCAGGAACAAATCCCCGTCGAACAAGCTCACTGATAATACCATTTGCTTCATCAACGTATCCTCTAGTGACCATGCTATGTATCAAGATATTGTAGGTTGCAACATCTGGAGAGATACCAGCAGATCTCATCCCATCAACAAGCTCAAAAACTTTATTCAGCTGATGAGTCTTCCCATACCCATGCATTAGATTGTTATACGTTACAACATCAGGCACCAAACCCTCGGTTTTCATATTCCGCAACAAAGCTTCTGCATCACCTACATTTCCATACTTGCTGCAACCACCAATAAGCAGTGTATACGTCGTTAGAGACGGTAGGTTTCCGCTTTTTAACAGAGCTCCAAAATATTGGAAAGCTTTATCTATTTTGCCAGATTTACAATACCCACCGATCATGGTAGTATAAGAAACACAGTCAGGAAGGAGCCCCAACTCAAAGATCTCCTGAAATATGGTGGAAGCTTTAAGCATGTCTCCCTCGTTACATATTTTTGACAGAAAGCTACTGTACACAAAAATGTTTGGTCTAAGACGAAAATAATGAATGAGCTTAACGGCTTCCTCTGGTTTTCCTACTTTACAGAACCCCTCGATAACAGAACTAACGGATACGGAATCCTGAGAGATGCCAAAGAGTTTGAGTTTAAACAACACAGAAGTTGCTTCTTTCATAAAGCCTGCTTTACATAAACTATGAATGAAAACTGTAAATGCCACAACATCTGGTCTGATTCCATACTGTTTCATCCCTATAAGCAATTCCCAACCTTTATCAAAACAACCATCAAAGCAGTATTTGCTAATGAATAGGCTAAGCACAGCAGCATTTAGATGCCTCCTTCCACTAATCATGTGTTCAACAAACTCGTGAGCTAACTCCAACCCGTGAATCCGTAGAATTTGCTTGAGCAACGAAATGCAAACACCTCTTGAAGGAAATATGCCAAACTGATCCATTTTGTAAGTTAGTTTCAGGGCCATGTCTACTTTTCTCTCCTGAACACAACAATCAACCAGCATAGAAAACACGGCCTCTAAAACCCTACGATCACTACGAGTTTCAAAAATATCATTCATAAGTAAACACAAGGGTCTCTCTTCTCCACCGCATCTCTTCACCAGACGGAGAAGCATATCTACAGCTCGAAAATTCATGTTTCCAGATACCAAAATATGAATCATACGGCTGATAGATCTGCTAGAATGCTCAGCACCAATCCACAACTCTGACCACCTGAAGAAGTAAAGAGCAATAGATGCATCCGAAGTCTCCTTAAACAAATCATCCAAAATTCTGATGACTTTGTACTCATCAAGCTCAATACTAAATTCACTCTCAAATCTATGTATCCAACTGTGTTTCATAAGAACATTTCTAATAGTTTCAACACAATCACTCGGGACTTTGACATTCTCAAGAATCGTATCAGTGTCTTCACTAAAAGGTTTACTGAAACAAATACCTGAATTGGAAACATTATTCCTTGATCCAGAGTAGATTGAATCACCAGAATCACTCTGAAGAAAGAAGGTCCTAGACCAGAAATATCCAAAAGCTTTACTTCTCGTAAACCAATGATTCAAGGTTAAGAATTGAGCTTGAAACACACATAAACAGGGACTGGTAAGAAGTAATCTGAAATAAAAAAAAGGAAACAAATTGTGTCAGTTTTGTAAGAACTGGTTTCGTGACTGACCCTATTGCTTGCAGTTGTTTCAGTAAAAGCAACAAAAGCTTCAAACCACGAATCGTTTCAGAATAAACAAAAATTCTCGACTGTGTTTTCAAGGTATGGAGATGAAGTAAAAGTGGATATTCGAAGCTTACATGTGTTTTCTTGTCTGTGAATGCCACAAAGAGGAACGCATTTAGTGGCTTGTCCTAATTTTGATCTGTCCGGAGAAATACTGGCAATGAGAGAATAGAGAAGCAAAGGCAGATAAGAGACAGAGAGAGATTGGTAGAGACGAAGGTGTGAACTCACCGATGTGTGTGACTCCGGTTTATCTCTTCCTGGAATCAAACCGGTTTTCTGTAAACCATTCTTATTGGTATCCGATAGTAGGTTTCTGGTATAATCGATGGGCTTATATCGGATTCAAGGCCCAAAATAAAAACCCTAATTGGCTAGAGTTATGCATATCTAGGTTTTCTTCTCCTCTTAAGAAAAACCCTAGAACTTCTCTTTTGCGCCTCTCGTCTCTTCTTCCCTTCAAGCGTTCAGCTCAACCGAAGAAAATGGTGAAACCTCGTTCTTCGGATTCATAGAGATCTCTTCGATCGTTTCGTTTACATTTCCTGTGTTCATGGATTCTGCTTGTCCTTGTATAGGTTTTCAAGAGATACGTCGAGATAGGACGAGTGGCTCTCGTCAACTTCGGAAAAGACTATGGGAAGCTCGTCGTCATCGTCGATGTCGTCGACCAAAACAGGGTAATTATCTTTGGGTGGTTTAGTCCAAGTTCATTTAGAATTTGATTGGATCCTTTAGCTCATATTAGCGTTTCTTGATTTGGTTAAGAGTCAAAATGTATCAGTTGAAGTTTGTAGATCTGATAAAGGTTCTCCCTTTGTTGTTTGAGTTATATCATGAGTCTCACCTGCTTTCGAAAGATGCAATTTTTAGGCTGCATTTGCTCAGAAATCTGTTCGCTTTTAAGTCATATGTTTTCATTGTATCAGAATTCCTTGATTCTCTTTGTATTATACTTATTGTTCTGTTATGTCGATGGTATCTGATTGCATCTCATTCCTCTACTTAGTTTATATAGTTACTTTGAATCTTGTTAGTTTGAGTAATTGTGATTTAAAAAAGGATTGCATCGGTGATTCAGTAGTATGATGGGCTCAATTCACTATTAAGATTGATTTACCAGATGCATTTCTGCGAAATCTGTTTGTTATTAAGTGTTTGTTTTCACTGTGTTGAGCTTTCTTGTATGTCTTTAGTATCTGATTGTCTTTTAATTGCTATGCTCGTCTACTTGTAGGCTCTTGTGGACGCCCCTGACATGGAGAGAATCCAGATGAACTTGAAGAGGCTGTCTCTTACCGATATCGTGATTGATATCAACAGAGTGCCGAAGAAGAAGAATCTGATTGAGGCAATGGAGAAAGCTGGTGAGTTTTGTTTTGCACGCATAATTATGTATGACATTGGAAGTGTCATATTATCCGGTCATCTTAAGCCTTTGAAACTTTTGCAGATGTGAAGAACAAGTGGGAGAAGAGTTCATGGGGCAGGAAGCTGATAGTGCAGAAGAGAAGAGCTGCCCTCAATGACTTTGATCGGTTCAAGATCATGTTGGCCAAAATCAAGGTTAGTATCATCGGATGTCTATTTTACTGCAATTGCACTTTCCTTGATGATTAATTGATTCCTTACCTACCATGTTTATACCCATAAGATAGATAGATAGATCCTAGGTCGATTTGACAGTGGTATCTTAGGAATATGTCAAAGTCATAGTCATTAACTTGTCTTAATCACTCTATTGAATGGATTTCATGTGTTACTTTGCAGAGGGCTGGTGTGGTGAGGCAGGAGCTTGCAAAGCTCAAGAGAGAGAGCACCGCTTGATGTTTTCAAAAATGTTCCTATGCTTTCAGATTTTTGTGTCTTCCATTAGAAATCTGATTGATGATTTTGGTATCTTTGTTACAAGCTTGAAATTTTTTTGCAAATGTTAGTTCAGAACTTTAAACTTTTTTGCTGTTTAAGAAAAGACACTTATTGCGCTCATCCGAATATATTATCTTAATTGAAAACCTGAACTGAGTTATGTCAAATACAAAGTATCAGTAAACTACAAATTGAATGTCAATTGACTTTTTAAAAACGAAGACGTTTGGCAGATTTTGGCGAAGGTGCTAAGCAATAATATTGAAACTTTTGGTGCAGTTTAGGTATTGAAACTTTTGGTGCAGTTTAGGTCTCACAAAGCTTTCATCTTCTTGCTCCCCTTTGGTCTTGCAATAGGAGCATTCATGGCTGCCATTTTCCTCTTGTATTTTTCACGTAGAAGACCATTGAAAGCCCACAGGTTACTCAAATCTTTAGCATCCTCCTCTTTTGTTTTATCCTCTTTACTATATGTTGTATCCTCTTTGACAAGGTGAGTCCATTTAGTTCTTCCACTGCGACCAAAGTGCTTCACCTGCATAACTTCACGCAGACCCGATTTGTCTAACCTATCTTCTCCAGTTGGAGCAGAGTAGTCTCGCTGATATATACCATCGGCTCCAGCAGATCCTGCCTCCTGGAAGAAGGCACCTTTGTGGTAGTATCTTTGCATAAACTTCCACTTCTTTTTCGGTTTAGCCGCTGATGAAGAAGGTATCGGATTCTTACACTCCCAGTCTCTCCTCTCATGATCAGTCATGTTCCTCAACTTGTCTACTTCTTCCCTCTCTCTCAACATAGCTTCCTTTGCATCTCTTTCTCTCTTGATCCTAGCAACCTCTCTTGTCTTCCAAGCTTCGTAATCCTCT